GTGAGAGAGAGAGAGAGAGAGAGAGAGAGAGAGAGAGAACTATAAATGCTGTGTGTGTGTGTGTGTGTGTGTGTGTGTGTGTTTGTGTGTGTGTGTGTGTGTGTGTGTGTGTGTGAGAGAGAGAGAGAGAGAGAACGATAAATGCTGTGGTCGGGCTGTTTTTTTTCTCACCTAGTACCACAGAAACAACTCGTACTCAAGTGGTAGTATTACTCCCGAGTATTTTTGCGGAAATCGCACTGATATGCAGTTTTATTTTGTTTGTTTGTTTGTTTAGAATCATATTGATCTTGTAAAACAAAGACCCTTCAACATTATAGCAAATCTTAATTCTGAAAGAAAACGTCACCAAGGACAGGCAATCGATCCAAGTGCAACAAAGTTACCTCCACCAAGAAAACTCGGCAGCGCCTTCAAATCTTGTATTTTCAATTTGTCAGCAATATGTATGATGTCAGAGTTTTCGTGATAATATATAGAAATGGAAGCAAAACAGTCGTTAGTTTCGCCAAATTGATGAAGATCCATGTGCCTGGAAATCCTGCAGGTACAGTCCAAAAAAACTTAAAAAAGCTTATTAACAATTTACATGTATTGCTTACCTTATGGTTTGACTCCAACCAATGGAGTCGTTCAGCGTTAGAAAAAAAGTATTTTTTATCTATGTTACCAGAGGTGACCCGCACGACGCACGGGGTACCAGGGCGACACCAAAAAGGGGGTCATTTTTATTTATTTATTTATTGGCAGTGGGGCAATTTTTAGCCCACTGAGACGTGCCCAAATCCGCTTTTGTCTTTGAGTTTGGTGATATCTCACCAAATGGTGTCTATGGGGTATAAGCGGGGTCCAAAAGGGCTCTTGAAGAGGCGTAAAGGGGTATGATATAATTTAGTATTTTTTTTTTATTTTTTTTTCCGGTTTCCATAGCGAATTTCGTGGTCACCCTCAGGCAAAAGATGTTTTGTTTACAATTCTATATGACAATGATGACGTAGTTTTCTTTATCAGTTTTTTTTTTTCTTTTTTTTTTCTTGGACTGCGACTACCTTGGACCTTGACCGGGACTTTGCCCGGACCTGACCCGACTGGCCACCCGGGCCAATCTGAGGCAACCCTCACTGCTCGGTAGGTAACACAACTTCTTATACAATCGATTGATATTTTATTATAATGAGCAGCAAGTATGCACAAATGTGCTTTGTTGCCCTTCTACTTGTCATGCGGCCCATGACCTCTTGCAATGGTTAGAGCTCATTAACAAAAAGAAAATATA